AAAATAAATTAGTGTGTTGACTCTTACTGTGAGCACTTACCGGGTAAGCATTTGGGTAAATGGCCCTTAAGTTCCTATTTGGTTTGTATGAATGGAATGGATTTGGATTTCAAATCCATTTCAATATCATGTTTAATTTGTTGGATTGTTTGTATTTGAAATTTTAGGATTTAATTGAAATTTTATAAACATAGGATTTTAAGCAAACAAGTTTATCAACATTTGATTTGGATTGTGTCTGAGACTTGTGGAACCTTTTCACATCATTTGATTTCCAATCATTGACTAAGAATGGTGTTTGATTTCCATCATTCTTAAGGCAACCGCTAATAGAACTATGTTCTTAACTTGATTAGATTAGCCGTCTATGAATTTAGTCATGTAGATTCTCGTGCTAATCAGCACTTGACAAACGGTCTATTGATACTCACCCATTATGTAATAAAATGAGATTTTTTTTTTACAAACAAGTCTATGATACACGGTCCGATTATTGATTTACACTCATTCCTAGTTTATAATTCTTTGTGTTCCGCTTTAATTTCATATGTTTTGTTTATCATCTCAATCCAACCCCCCATTTTACCTAAAGCGTAAAAGTCAATAACTTTTCACGGTCAATCTCTGTTGAGTCGATCCTACTTACCATCGTTACAATTTAACATATAATGCACACTTACATGCATTAGATTTTCAAAATATAGATAGAACAAGTCATATGTATTATAAAACAACTTTTTACAATCAATCCGATAAAATAAAACATGAAAAATGGTATGAGTCCCTTACACTTGGAATTTATGTCAATTCCCTTAATACCATATCCCTTGCAAAATTTGGACATGCATTTAATACTAACAACACTAAACACGTGGTTTAAAGCATACTAGGTTGATTGGTTTGTTTCCTTTCCTCTCAAGCAATAAACATTGTTAGATATCAAAGTTTCTAATCTAGTAGTTAAGTTAAGATCATCTTCGATAATGACAATCCTTAATTAGCTCCATAAATGTAGTATGTGTTGCATATGATATCGAACAATGGTGGAGATCTCTTCTTATCGGAACCCAACCTAATACTTACATACATTAACCCAACTAACAAAAGAAACTAATTCAATGGATCAAAGCCCAAGCCCACACCCTTAAAGTTTAGTAAATAAACAAGCAGGGCAGCCTGCTATTGCTTCTACCTAAACAAACCCAAAGTGAGCAGCCCAAGACAAGTTGGTCCAGCAACCAAAAAAAAAAAAAAAAACACACCATAAGGCATAAGGCATAAGATTACTTGGTGGATTTTACTAATTCCAAAAATAATATATTAACCTAATCTCTGCAATTTTAGAAGATTTTGTTGAAACCAAAATATAGGTTCGTATTCATAACTGTTCTTTTACCAACTAAATTACAAGACAGAAGTAAAACCTTTCAGGTTTATAATTGAATACCATTTAAACTTTATGAAATAATGGAGGTATTTTTACATAATTTATTAGGAAATAAAGTTAGGGTGAAAGAAATCAGTGCACCATCTATTAATATAACATCATCATATTATATATATATATATAGAGAGAGAGAGAGAGAGGGGTGAGTTATTATGTATCCCTTTATATTTGTACAACTAATACAATTCAATCTCAACCGTCCATTTAATTTGATAATATATGATTTCGTAAAAGTTTAGATTGTTTTCTAATGTAAAATACTAATCATAATTAATGAATTCTAGTCATCTTTCATAAATATTAAAATCATAATTAATGAACTCTCATTATTTCCATAAATATCTCAATTGATTAGGTTGCATTGGTTGTATAAATGTATTAAGTTGCATATGAAACGTCCACTCTCTCTGTCTCTCTCTCTCACTCTCTCTCTCTCTCTCTCTCTCTATATATATATATATAGTATATTTCAAATGCAACTATGTCCATTTGTACAACCAATGCAACCCAATCAATTGAGATATTTATGAAAATTATGAAAGTTCATTAACTATGATCAATATTTTATATTAGGAAACAATCAAAACTTTTATAAAATTATATATTTATATTAAATTAAATGTACGGTTGAAATTGAGTTATGTTGATTATACAAATATATAAGATTGCATAATCTCTCTCTATATAAAATTTCAGCGGCAGCTATTGGTGGATGCAGCAAGCCCGCTCGTGTGATATATATGTTAATAAAGTTTTGTTAATATATATTTAAAACACGATGACAAATACTTAACAATTAAATCTAGTTCACTTGTCATAATAAACAATATAAGGTAATTTTTGAAAGAATGTTCTAAATAGTTTATTAATAATCTTCATAAATATTTTTTTTCAAATATACTCTTCGTTTAATAAAAGCAACCAAATTTTATATTTTTTTTAAGATTCAGATATTTGGTTAATTTATCAACTAGTTTATCGCAACTTAATTGTCATTTAATTTAGAGTAAATTATGGATTTGGTCTTTGTTGGTGGTTTTTACGAAAATAGTCTTCGAACTTCATTTATTATATATTATGACTTGTAGTATGTCGTTCTGTAATTAATTGGTCTCTCCCCCTAACGACCATCTAGTTCCTCTGTTAACTTTGAGGGCATTTTTGTCCTTTTCATTTTTTTTGTACTCAAGAGACCAATTTCGTAAAAATATGCAAACCATAAGAACGAAATTCATAATTATGTATAAAAAATTAAATAAAAATATTAATTGTTTTCTACTTTTGAATTTATTAAATTAATTAATTATTCTATATAGGGTTTATATATTATTCATTATCCTTTAAGTTTTATTTTAATATACAATATATTTTCTTTCATAAAATATATATTATATACGTCTACACATATGCGTGCATGCATACACACATACATATATAGTGAGATTCAACATAAAATTATCAATCATTATATTAATTGATTTAAGAGATATGATTAAATTGGTGTTCAAAGCAATATTTTTTAAATTAAAAAAATCTCATTCCCACCTATTTTTATTCGGAAAAAAAGAAGACGAGATTTAAATAATTATCGAGTGAAATAAATTAATATCATATTTTTATCACTAATTTGACATCCATATTGATATATTTTTTCTTCTATTTTTTCTGTGATTTCCCCGTTTTTCATTTAGTTTGCATTGAGAGAGAGAGAGAGAGAGAGAGAGAGAGAGAGAGATTTTTTTGAATTCAATGGAAAATACTAAATAAATGATAAACCGAAAAATAATGAAAAAAAAGATGAAAAAATATATCAATGTGTTCTAATTAATTTCACTTGATTTTTTATTTTTCATTTTTTTTTCAAATAAAACTCAGGGGTGGTGAAATTTTGTAATTAAAAAAATTTATTATAAAAGTTAATTTAATCACACGTATTGAATGAATTAATCAAATTGTTGATAAATATTGTTTTTCTCTAAAAGGCTGAACCTTACTACGTGTATATGTGTGTGTGTGTGTCTCCATGTGTGTATACATACGCTAATAAATTTTTTTGAAAGAAAATATATTATATATTAATATTAAACTTAAAGTATAATAATTAATTGATATATGTTAAATTATAATAATTAATTAATTTAATAAAATTAAAGTATAATTTTTTTTACTTTATTACAAATTTGGTCCTTGTGGTTTGTTTGGTCTTCATGTAATTGGTCTCTTAAGTTTTTTTTAGAAACAACAAATTTATTAAGAAACCACCGAAGGCTAGCAAGATGCTAGCACTTATAACAAAGCTGCTAAAGGGATGATACACCAAGCATTCCAATCATGAATATTACAAGACTTCGAACTAAATCTAATCCAATTATACGAAAAGAGCATGATCTCCTTAGAAATCACCACCGGACTTTTCATGTAATTGGTCTCTTAAGTGAAAGACAAAAAAAAAGAAAAAAGAACAAAAATACACTCAAAATTAACTAAGGAACCGGATGATCATTAATGAGAGTGACCAATTCATTGTAAAATGACATACATCAAGTCCCAATCCTTAGTAAATAAGTTTCTAAGTACGTTTTCGTAAAAACCACCAAACAGAAACTGAATCTGTAATTTAAAAAGCATATTAAAATTTAATTAATTACAAGAGGTTTGGTGTCAACTTTTGTTTTTTACCTGATTATATTATTTTTGACACGTGGCAGTGGGATGGCCTTTTGTGTTGAAGATGATTGGCTGGGTTAGCAGAAAAATAAATGGCAATCCAGGAATGGACGGTGGTGGGTGGCCCTCTCCAACTCTACTTGCCGCCTTTTTTTATTTTATTTATTACGTGGAATTGTTTGTTTTTGGAATAGAATTTCAAACTTAATTTATCACTAAAATTTATTCATATAACCATTTTATGAAATGAATTTTACTTTCTATCACCTTAAAATCTTTTTTAAATAATCCAAGTTTACAAAAAAAAAAGAAATACCCGTGTGCAAAGTTTTTTAAAGGAAAAATTCTATATAATCCATATATACATCTAATAAAGAACAAAGGTTGAGTTCACGTGAGACCAAGAGTTTTTTGTGAGACCCGTGAGGCTAATTTATGTTTATTGATCAACTTTATAAGCCAATGATCTAATTGTCTAAAGTTGTACAGTGACAATTTCGTGATTACTGAGAAGTCTCGTGACAATTTTGTGATTATGAATATTCAGATTGTAGATCTAATTCAAAGATTGAGAATTGGTTTTACAATTCTTACGAAAAGCCCTTGATCTTACGTGATCTCAAGTTTAAGGAACAATCATACAACTATTTATTTAAAAAATATAAAAAATAAATAGCATTATTGCTTCATGTTTACTTTTCTTTTTATATTGTTTGTAGTTTTGTGTATGATGATAAAGTCGGAAGTAATTTATCAACCAAAGTGGTCTAAATCATGATTATGCTAATTTTTGTGGTAAATGATTATCTGATTATATCGAAATTATTCGTCACACCTCTCCATATAAATACTCCAACTGCTTCTCCACTCTCCTCATCTCATCCCTCACACCATTCTCTCTATTCTCTCTCACATATTTAGCTAGTCTTACTCTTGGGAATGGCGAAAGACGTTGGGGTTGGTGGCCATGATTACACTGCAAGAGATTACCAAGACCCTCCACCGGCAGACCTTTTTGACGCCGAGGAACTCACCAAATGGTCCTTTTACAGAGCCATCATTGCCGAGTTCGTTGCAACCCTCTTGTTCCTTTATATCACCGTTTTGACAGTTATCGGCTACAAGTCTCAGACAGACCCCATCCACAGCTCCGACCAATGTGGTGGCGTCGGAATCCTCGGAATCGCTTGGGCCTTCGGTGGCATGATATTCGTCCTCGTTTATTGCACCGCCGGCATCTCCGGTAACTCTTTCAATTATATGTATATAATGATCATCATCCATCATTTAACTAACTAAGCTACTCTATAACTTGACAAGTTCATATATGTATAATGGATTTTGAAATTTGCAGGAGGACACATTAACCCTGCCGTCACGTTTGGGTTGTTGTTGGCCAGGAAGGTGAGTGTTCCAAGGGCGGTCATGTACATTGTGGCTCAATGCTTGGGTGCCATCTGTGGTTGTGGTCTTGTGAAGGCTTTCCAAAAGACTTACTATGATAATTACGGTGGTGGTGCCAACGAACTTGCCGATGGCTACAGCAAAGGCACGGGGTTGGGTGCGGAAATCATCGGCACCTTTGTCCTCGTATACACCGTCTTCTCAGCCACTGATCCCAAGAGAAATGCCCGCGATTCCCATGTCCCCGTAAGTACTTTCACTTCTCTCCTCTGCATATATATATATATATATATATATATATTACTTGTTTTTAAGCAAGATTCTTAACTTCAATTAATTTCTTTTGACACACACACACACACATATATATATATATATATATATAATTGTTTGGGATTATAGGTGTTGGCACCTCTCCCTATTGGATTTGCTGTGTTCATGGTTCATTTAGCCACAATCCCAATTACCGGCACCGGAATCAACCCAGCTCGTAGTTTTGGTGCGGCTGTTATCTATGGAAAAGACAAGGCCTGGGATGATCAAGTAAGCTAAGTTATATGTATAATCATGTCAACTCCTTCAATTTTACCATGTTTATATACGCTTGCTGATCTGGGTTTGAACTGTGTGCAGTGGTTATTCTGGGTGGGACCAATGATCGGAGCCGCCATTGCCGCCATCTACCACCAGTATGTACTGAGAGCAGGAGCAGCGAAAGGACTTGGATCCTTCAGGAGCAATGTGTAGGAGAAGGGCACGAAGGTTGCAGAATATTCCAATGCAATTGTACAAATTAAGTTGGGTTGGTTTTATATATGGTGTCCCTCTTATATCATGTATGTTGGTGTTTTGGGCACTTGTTTTTTTGAGTGTGCCACTCTGGTCCCTCGACTTTATTTTTATGTCAATTTAATCCCTCTGTTTTGTTGTAACCAATTAAAGGTTACCCAAATAATAAATACGAAGCATGGCAAGGGATTTTGTGGTGTATTCAACTCTTCCACGTACCGATGATGCATCTCAACGCCTTTAACTTTTTAAATATACAATAACAAATATACAATTACAAAACATGCTTTCCATATAAATGAAACTTTACGTCATTTTTAACAGGTTCTCTAAAATGAATAAGGAACTATTTGAGTTGACATAGAATGATTAAATGGTCAAAATGATTAAGAAACTCGTATGATAAAGTGTAAAATGAAATATGGTTGTTTGATAATTGTTTAAAATGAAACAAGGCGTTAAATGGTTCAAGAAGACCCAATATACAAAATCATTTAGAGGGTTTTGTAACCATGAGTCAGACTTTTTTTTATCAAATAAGATTCAACACTTAGCGATTTAGCAACTCGTTCTTAATGGAACTATTAAGACGTAAATAAATAGCTTTTAAGTGAAAAGTTGAAACCTTAAAAAAATACCTTCATCACCAATAGATTTTATATTTTAGTTACGCATAGTATAAACAGGTATATATGATGTAATCTTTTCAATTCAAGTCGATATCACTTTTCTTATTTCCTAATTACAACTTTCTAATTTGAAACGGCATTACCAAAAAATTAACCTTATTAGACCAAGTCGGGTTTCTCTTTCCATAAGTCATTATTTTTTTCAATTTGATCACTAAAGTTACCCGTCTTTACGTCTTGACCAATGACCACAATAACATTAACCGGTAATGGTGTTTTGTGATATGAATAACATGGCTTATTTAACAGTTTTGTAGCTGCCCATCTCAATTTTCAAAGTCATTTCTCATTCAACACATAGAAGAAAGCATTCAAAAAACAACCTATTTTAACAACAACCAAAAACCCTAATAATTAAAAGACAGACAAACTCCCTTCAATGCAGAAAAGTCTCACCATAACATGTTAAGTCCTGTAACCTCCATGTGCTCTTCTCCTAGCTAGGCATTACTCCTGAAGGATCCAAGAGCTTTCACTGCTCCTGCTCTCAGTACATACTGGTGGTACAAGGCCGCGATGAAGGCTCCGATCATTGGTCCCGCCCAGAATAACCACTGCAAACCCTCAGTGTAGACACATTATATGGTTGGTAAAATTAGATGAAGGAGGAGGAGTTGACATGATTATATATTTATAACTTGGCTTACTTGATCATCCCAGGCTTTGTCTTTTCCATAGACCACGGCGGCACCTAAACTACGAGCTGGGTTTATTCCTGTGCCAGTGATTGGGATTGTGGCCAAATGAACCATGAACACAGCAAATCCGATAGGGAGAGGTGCCAACACCTTTAATTATATACACAAGAGTTATCTGCTTATACTTTGACCATTTCTTCTCTAGATAAGTTGAAACTTCAATTCTCTCTTCAAATTGTTTCACATCTTTAAATACGAAAAAGTTTAGAAAAACCCAACAAAGTATAATTTGAACTATTTTTTTGAATGGAAAAACCATTAACTTTCTTATTCAAAAGAGGATAGTTGCGATTGGGTTTTTATGAATCATGGGGAGGGGAAGTACTTACGGGGATATGGGAATCGCGGGCATTTCTCTTGGGATCAGTGGCTGAAAATACGGTGTATACGAGGACAAAGGTGCCGATGATTTCCGCACCCAATCCTGTGCCTTTACTATAGCCATCGGCAAGCTCGTTAGCACCACCACCGTAATTCTCATAGTTAGTCTTTTGGAAAGCCTTCACAAGACCACAACCACAGATGGCACCCAAGCATTGAGCCACAATGTACATGACCGCCCTTGGGAGGGTGATCTTCCTGGCTAACAACAACCCAAATGTGACGGCAGGGTTAATGTGTCCTCCTGCAAATTAAATATCAAACCATCAACTTGTCAAAGTATGGTAATTAGTTAAATGATGATAGTGAGAGATGATGAGAAAAGTCACCGGAGATGCCGGCGGTGCAATAAACTAGGACGAAGATCATGCCACCGACGGCCCAGGCGATGCCGAGGATTCCGACGCCACCACATTGGTCGGAGGTGTAGATGGGGTCTGTCTGGGAGTTGTAGCCGATGATAGTGGAGACGGTGATGTAAAGGAACAAGAGGGTGGCAATGAACTCAGCAATGATGGCTCTGTAAAAGGACCATTTGGTGAGCTCTTGGGCGTCAAAAAGGACTGCCGGTGGAGGGTCTTGGTAATCTTTTGCACCACCAACATTAATTTCTTTGGCCATGTCCAAGACTCTACTCTAAATGTGACTACTGACACAGAATTATATAAATATAAATATCGCCAGATATTCATGTGAGGGGTTGATGAAACTTGAGAGATATTAAAGTATTAAATGGTTTATAATATAGTATAGATATATATATATATATAATAAATTATGCGTAAGTACAACTTATTAAAGCTCTAGATCTGAATTTATGTAAGTAACTGCAGATAAATATATAATCAAATACAGAATAAACATATCATTTTAAATATAAAAAATCAAAAATATAATTAGAATAATCATTGAGTTATAACAGAATACTTAATTATTATCTATTAAAATGTTTATATTATTAAATCAAAAATAAATTATTTTGTTATTAAACTTAAATTAAATTATAATTAAAAAAATAAATTAAAGAAATTACATAAAAATGAGAACTTTTAAATAGTTGATTTGAACATTGATATGATATCTTCAAATTTATATTTTATTTAAAAATAAAATCATTAATGCTTTCTTAAAAACACATAAAATCGTATTATAACATCGATAGAGACAAATAACAAAATATAATATTAAAACCGAGATGTGTCTCGCTGCATTGCACAAATGCGCTTCTAGTAAAAATGAAACGTTGAACTCTTGTAATATCATAAAATATTCCTTGAAACTAATAACCAACAGAAGATTCTTTACATTACAAAACAAAGAGACTTCACCGACGAAAAAATTAGTGTGTAATCCATCAGAAAAAGCCATCACCGGCAGATTAGCGGCAAATTTCATTGCTAGAGAAATTGTGGTGAGTGATTGTGATTACGATCAAATTTTCAATCACCGACGGAAAAATCTGTAGGTGATATTCAATCCGTCAACCATCGGCCACAAATCTGATGGAAATTATTGGTAAAAAAAATCTATCTATAAAGCTTCTTTATTTTGTAGTGTTGGTTTTTTAAAACCACACAAATTTATAAAATAAAATAAAAAATGACGAAATAAAGATGAATTAGATTGAATAGACGCATACACTTGTAGTATGGAGGTAAAATATCAAATTCCGAATTTAGCATCACCATATAAGGTTTTAAAGCATTTGACAGAATAAGTTAAAGTTTGATATGGATTAGAAAGGAACCTTCCTTATTTTCATATACATCGATCTGTTTTAAAAAAAGAGATTGAAATGTATTAATTTTACGTACCTAACCCTAACGGTTATTTATTTTATGATAAGGAGTTGATTGTGTAGTGGACCACGGTTGTCCCTTCCAACCACCATCCTTCTCCTGCCATTTCATTTATGATACTTTTTTCTTATAAATGTCACTTGATTTATAACTATTAATTTTTTAGAGTAAATTTCACCAATATCTGTATTTTTTTTAAATGTAAGATCTATAATATCTTTAATATAATTGAGGGTAAATAAATTTCAAAACGAATCCACCTAAACCCTAATTTGATTCATAACCCTTACCCCCTTTTGAATCCTACCACCATTTTAGATCTGAGACACACCAAGACCAACAACATCCTTCGTCGGCCACCTCCCACCACAAGTTCTTGTTCTCTTCTATTAGGTTGTAAATCCAAGGCTCCGTCTTTTCTTGATTTTCCTTTGACGAAGTTTGAGATTCTCGATGGTAACTTTGCCTGAATAAATAAGGAGCTGTGACAATGAATTGTTACTGATAGGGTTCACGACATGCTCAACAATCAATGTCATCATAGAATGAACGGCGGGCGCAATGGATTGCTATAGGTTTTGGATGGATGCAAAAGGGATGGGTTGCCAGAAGCTCTCGATGGTTGGAGATGATGGCTGATGGGGGGATGCCGGATGGTTGTGATCTATCGGTGGTCTTAAAGAAAGTAAAACAATAATATTTTTTGTAATAACTTTATATAATATAAACATCCACATCATCGTCCACGTCAACAACTAATACTGAGTTTGATGTCACTTCATTTGTCAAGTCAGCATGATAACATGTTAATACTTATTAAAACTCCACGTTTGAATTCGTGTAACTAACTACAGATAAACATAATCAAATAGAGGATAAACATCTTATTTTAAAATATAAAAAAATCTAAAATATAATTAAGATAATTATCGAGTTCTAACAAAATAATTAATTATAATCTTTATAAGAAAATTATATTATTAAATCAATTACAAATTACTTCGTTATTGAACGTAAATTAAATTATAATAAAGAAATTTGAATTAAAAATTTACACAAAAAATAAGAATTTTAAATAGTTAATTTGATACTAATATCGTTATATTTTTGTTAAATTTTTATGATATCTTCAAATTTATATTTTATTCAAGAATAAAAGTATAATCATTTTTTTAAAATCATATAAGACCATATTATAACATTGACTGAGATAAAAAGTAAAATGAAATATTAAAAGTAAGATGTATCTCGCTGCATTTGACAAAAACTCTTATGCATGAAAAACTGTTTATTGATGCATATTACTTACAATTCAATATTACAAGTAAAATTTGCATAAGTAAAATTTGTTAAAACTTCAAATTTGATTTCGTATAACTAACTGCAGATAAATATAATAAAATAGATGATAAACTTCTCATTCTAAATATAAAAAATCTAAAATATAATTATATAATTATTGAGGTCTAACAGTTACTTAATTATTATTTTTATAAAAAATTATATTATTAAACAAAAAATAAATTACTCGTTATTAAATCTGAATTAAATTGTAATAAAAATCTGAAATAAAAGAATTACAAAAAAAAAAACTAGAATTATTTTATATATTTTTCAAAATTGTATAATATCTTTAAATTTATATTTTATTAAAAAATAAAAACATTATCGATTTCTCGAAACCACATTAAACCATATTATAACATCAACAAAAACAAAGAATAAAACGAAACATTAAAATCGAGATATATATCGGTACATTACGCGAGTATAATTCTAGTATTAATTAATTAATGTTTGGGTTTGGAGAATAATTTAAGATGGATTCCCATCGACCACATACCTTTCCAACATTAATCCCTTCATTTGACGACCCTACATGTACATGATATCTTCTGGTTCTAATTCCACACTTCCTCTAATCTTCTTCGGTTATAAATTCACACTCCAATTACTCTCTTCCTTTGATCCAATGGAGTTTTTGTGATCTTTATTTGAGTATTCAATAAATATTTAAACATACACAAATTAGTAAATTATGTTGTTAGTTCTTGTGGTTTGTTGAATTTTTTTTATCTTTTTCATACTAATGATTTAAAATTTGTTACTTTCTTTGTTTCTCTATGATTTACAATTCATTTCTACTTTAATCCTTCATACTTAAAGGTACGTTTTTGATATCAGGAATGTTTTTGATTAAAATTATCACAAGGACGAAATTCACAAGTTTTGACAAGCCACTGGGACGAAAAATATAATTTACTCAACAAATACAAAATAACATATGGAGATTTTTAAGATTTTTTCCTCCAACAAATTTTTAAAATGAAAATAGAATGAGAGGGAGAGATGAAATTTTCCAAATTTGGAGTTTCTAAAAAAGATGACTTATAAAAGAGAAAAGATTTTTTATTTAATGTAATTGTTTAGAATTGAAAATTTAGAAGACACCAATAAAACTTTACAACTTGTATTGAATATTTTAATAATATAATTAGTTGTGTAATCTCCAAAATATAAAATCTATTGGCGACGAAGGTATTCTTTTTTAGAGGTTTCAACTTTCTCTTAAGGCTTGTTTGTTTATGTCTTAATAGTTTCATTAAAAGACAACTTCTAAATTATTAAGAGTTAAATCTTGTTTCATAAAAAAAGTCTCTCTTAATAATTACAATACTCCATGAATAATTTTGTATCTTGAGTCTCCATGAACCATTCAACGCCTTGTTTCATTCTGAACAATTATCAAACAACCACATTTCATTTTACACCAAGTCATTCAGTAATTGCCGGACAGTTCTTTCTTATTTTAGGGAACCTGATAAAAATAATAACATGTTAAGTTTCATTTATATGGAAAGCATGTTTTCCGAGGATTTTTTATTGTATATTTAAAAGGTTAAACGCGTTGAGATGCATTATCTGTATGTGCAAGAGTTGAATACACCACAAAATCCCTTGCTATGCTTCGTACTTATTATTTGGGTGACCTTTAATTGGTTACAACAAAACAAAGGGATTAGATTGACATAAAAATAAAGTCGAGGGACCAAAGTGGCACACTCAAAAAAACAAGTGCCCAAAACACCAACATACATGATATAAGAAGGACACTCCATAATCCATATATAAAACCAACCCAACTTAATTTGTACAATTGCATTATATTGGAATATTTTGCAACCTTCGTGCCCTTCTCCTACGCATTGCTCCTGAAGGATCCAAGTGCTTTCACAGCTCCTGCTCTCAGTACATACTGGTGGTAGATGGCGGCAATGGCAGCTCCGATCATCGGTCCCACCCAGAATAACCACTGCACACAGTTCAACCCAGTTCAGCAAGCATATATAAACATGGTAAAATTGAAGGAGTTGACATGATTATATATATAACTTAGCTTACTTGATCATCCCAGGCCTTGTCTTTTCCATAGATAACAGCCGCACCGAAACTACGAGCTGGGTTGATTCCGGTGCCGGTAATTGGAATTGTGGCTAAATGAACCATGAACACAGCAAATCCGATAGGGAGAGGTGCCAACACCTATAATCCCAAACAATTATATACATACATGTCAAAAGAAATTAATTGAAGTTAAGAATCTTGCATAAAAACAAGTGATATATATGCAGAGGAGAGAAGTGAATGTACTTACGGGGACATGGGAATCGCGGGCATTTCTCTTAGGATCAGTGGCTGAGAAGACGGTGTATACGAGGACAAAGGTGCCGATGATTTCCGCACCTAACCCCGTGCCTTTGCTGTAGCCATCGGCGAGTCCGTTGGCACCACCACCGTAATTATCATAGTAGGTCTTTTGGAAAGCCTTCACAAGACCACAACCACAGATGGCACCCAAGCATTGAGCCACAATGTACATGACCGCCCTCGGAAGACTCACCTTCCTGGCCAACAACAACCCAAACGTGACGGCAGGGTTAATGTGTCCTCCTGCAAATTTCAAAATCCATTATATATATGAACTTGTCAAGTTATAGAGTAGCTTAGTTAGTTAAATGATGGATGATGATCATAATATACATATAATTGAAAGAGTTACCGGAGATGCCGGCGGTGCAATAAACGAGGACGAATATCATGCCACCGAAGGCCCAAGCGATGCCGAGAATTCCGACGCCACCGCATTGGTCGGAGCTGTGGATGGGGTCTGTCTGAGACTTGTAGCCTATAACTGTCAAAACGGTGATATAAAGGAACAAGAGGGTTGCAACGAACTCAGCAATGATGGCTCTGTAAAAGGACCATTTGGTGAGTTCCTGGGCGTCAAAAAGGTCTGCCGGTGGAGGGTCTTGGTAATCTTTTGCACTGTAATCATGGCCACCAACCTCAACGTCTTTCGTCATGCCCAATACTATATATGTAATATGTGAGAGAAAAAGAAAGATTGGTGTCTGGAATGATGAGAAGAGTGGAGAACCAGTGGGAGTATTTATACGTAGAAGAATATGTAAGAAGAATCTGGAACCCCGTGATGAAAGCACCAGTAAAGATGGATAACGTTTTCCCTAAGGGGATTTGAAGGTTGGATATTTAGGTTTAAAATTATATATCATGTTTTTTTAAATGATTTGATATAGAATGATTTAGTGGTTAAAATGATTAATAAGTTTTTATAATATAATACAAAATGAAATAAGATTATTTGTTAATTATATAAAAGGAATTAAGACTCTGAATGATTTAAAAAGATACAAGATATAAAATCGTTCAGAAAATCTTAGAAATATAAGTGGCAAATTTTATTTTGATAAACAACATCCACCTTTTAAAGAATGTCTCTTAATGAAAATCGTTAGTGTTGCAGTGCACTTCTAGACAAGAGTTATTTTAGATAGAATTTTTATGTATATTTAGATTTAATTATTACTATTTTATTATTAAAAGTTGGCTGGGAAGCCGACCATGGACGTCGCTCTCACCAACCACCGTCCACTCCAACCACCTTCCTTCTGCCATCTGGCTTCCACTAACCAATCATGTTCCAGTGTTTTTATTTTCTTTTGGCAGCCGAGCCAATCATGTAACACTGTCTGCAACCAAAATCATATTTATATTTATCATCAAACACAAAACTAAAAATGAAACACATAAATAATACAAACGTTGTCAATTACATATATTTGAAGAAGCAAACATGCAAAATACTAATTTGGAACCATTTGCATCTCCTCCCTACCAAAAACAACAAACTATCAAATAAATTAAATGCTGAGATGTAACTTTTCATGGCTTGATTCTTTTTGGCTCATCACAATAGAATTAGTTTTATAAGAAGTTTTTTTTTTTTTTAACAAATCAATATTGAAATTTTGTATAATAGAATTACATAATGTTTTTAGATGTTTTAACAAGTTTTTGTAAAGTTTAAAATAAAGTATCGTATTAACTATTTTATACGACACTATCTAAAAAGTGTCTTATAGAAAGATAGGAAAAAACTTCTCGAAAATGTCTTAGAATAAAAGCTAATACAACACTTTGTTTTAAAAAACGTTCTAAAAGTTTGTTAAAAAGTCCAAAAACGTCTTATAAACTTATTGTAATGTTTTTATATGCGTTATAGTTTGATCATATAAACTATGTTTTATAAAGTATTCTATTAGAACATTTATACATTTTAAGTGTCCTATAAACAGTGGCGGATCTAGAAACTTTTATAGTTGGTGGCACACTTTGGGGTGTAGAAAAAAAATTCAAAACCAAATAATCCATCCGGATGAAAACGGTTTTGAGTTTTCTTTTTCGGCTTAAACAGTTCAGTTAACCGAATAAATATTACTTATTCAGGTCGATTTTCATTTGGCTTTTTACTAAGTCATCGGGGTGTATAATTTTTTATATTTCGAACGAGTGTGTGTTGCAAATGGACCAATTAACAATCAAGATATCAAATTGGGGGTCCTTGTCTTATTCTTGTTCGCCGCACAATAGAAAAATTTACTAAACAAATCTTTTTATAGCCTTTTAAAAAAAAAAATTGGTGGTTTTGTTGGGGCCTAGGACTCCTACCATTAGGGGTGCTCAAAAACTCGATCAACCCGAACAATCCAACCCAACGCGAAATAACTTCATCCGAAACAACTTGATGTCTAATCAACTTGTAAAATTTTCAAACCGTAGGTATTAGGTTGATATTGGGTTGCTATTATTTGAACTCAACCCAAGCTAATGAACCTTATATCCTTTTATTTTTTGGATTTAATATGATTGTTGAATTTTTATTAATATATACATTGGACAGTTACACTATCACGTACACTCTTCATATGCACATATTTTCAATCTATTCACATCTCTATATAACTCATTTATATATATGTCCAGTAAATGTGAACATATATATGTAAATTGAGAAAATTAACTGAATATGATATACGTAAAAAGTATGGATAAGTTGTATCAATTGGTTAATGATGAAAAGAAATTATGAGTAGGAAAATAACATATTGAAGGTTAGAAGAATATTTTAATGTACCAAAAGTATCAACCCGTACGGGCTGGGTTGGGTTGGGTTGGATTAAGATTTTTCAAACCGGAAGCATTAAGTTGGGTTGTTCAAATGTTTTCAACTCAACCCATGAACACCCCTAACTACCACCATACACTAGATCCACCTGTGCCCTGTAAAACCAATTTTTTGTAATGGGTTTTATTTGGTTTCAGTTTTTTCCAGGTTTTGTTGCAACTTTGGTTTTGTTTAATAAAATTTCACCTTACCGTTCAAAAAATGGAAGTTATATTTTGATGGCGTTACATTACATTACATTAATTAATTAAGCTAAAAAAGTCTTTTATTATTTATTTATTAAAAAGAGAAATATAAAACCTGAAAATAGGAAATAAATAAATAAATAAAAATGATTGACAGTAAATAAGTCCCGGTTTTACCGGATCCATCCCAATCTTAACAACCCGATCACCATCACTCCATCTTCAACATCTCCTCCATCCCCATTTTCATTCTCTTCACATTCAGGTACATGCACTTTTCATTATTATTCATATTTGTTGCTTGTGATCATTAACATTTCCAATTATCGACTAATAGAAATTATTTAGCCAATCGTGTCATAAACCGTATCTTTTTGCATATTGTTACAGACCACCGATTTTACATCTCTTCAATTCATCTGCATGGAAATGGAATGACAATATCTTGCATTACATTGTTGTATCCAGAAATCACGTTCTTTCTCCTCTGCAGCAGGTATGGAAGATTATAGACGACAAGGTGGAATTCAACAATTGCTTGTTGCGGAACAAGAAGCTCGACAAATCGTTAATGCCGCAAGAACTGGTACGTAACCTTTTCCTATCTATTCCCATCATAAATTAGCAATCAAATCAATGCTTTTCTTCTGTTTTCAGCAAAAATGAACAGACTCAAACAAGCAAAAGATGAAGCCGAAGAAGAAGTAGCCAAGTATCGAGCCCAGATGGAGAAGGAATTCCAGAAAACAATCTCAGAGGTAAACAGAACACAACCCTTTAACCTTCAATTCTATGACCATTAATGCTGTCAATCCATCATATCACAATCTCATTTCTTACATTCATCACAAAGCAGTCGACGGGTTTTTCTGGAGTGAACATCAAACGACTTGACGAAGAGACGGTTACAAAGATCGATCACTTGAAAAAACAAGCTGCCAAAGTTTCACCAGAAGTCATCAAGATGCTCATGTCCCATGTCACCACCGTCAAGGTTTGAAAGATTTGCATCCCACATCAATGATGCAAATAAAAATCACTAAACAAAACCTACCGTTTCTATTCTATTCTGCAAACCAGTTAAATGTCATCTTTCTTACATATTAGTCAGATTTCAATAAACAAACTTGTAGGATTCATATATCTCTCTATGGTGAGCATGATGGTGTACCAAGAAACAAGCTTTACATATGTTACAACCATCAAAAACTCTGACTAGACTTTTTCTTATCATCGATCTTAACATCCATGAGATCAGCCACGAACCCCGGCTGCGAAATCGTGACTCCATCAACACTATTTTCGCTGGTCAACATCTTGATGACTTCAGACATGCGGGGCCGAAGCTTTGTGTTTTCTTGAACACATAGTAACCCCACCTTCAAGAACCGAACTGCTTCTGATCTTAACCCATCATCAGCCTCTTCTAACAACAGATGATCCACCAGCTCCACCAAAGACTCGCTATTGTACATATCCCAGGCCTGTCCAACACACATTTGCGTCAAGTACAACCATATTTGCTTAAAGTACAACCCCATTCTATCAAATCTATAGTACCTTATCAACCAGGAATTGTTCTCCATGTTCCACATCGAAATCGACAACAGACCGGCCACTGACGATTTCTAGAAGAAGCACACCGAAGCTATAAACATCGGATTTGCGAGTTAAACGTCCGCTGATAGCGTACTCTGGAGAAAGATACCCTCTAGAAATTGAATCCAACAATAACATTAGAGATTTGTCAGCAATGCCCTATGATAAACAATAACAGACCAAGATGATGTTTATATTTCTAGGGCTTACAGTGTCCCGGCAACACGAGTACTAATGTGAGACGTGCCGTCTTGAAATAATCTTGAGAGCCCGAAATCGGCAACTTTTGGATTAAAATCGTGATCTAGAAGTACATTGCTTGCTTTGATATCTCTATGAACTATATGGGGGTTCTTTTCTTCATGAAGATATGCTAATGCTTTCGCAACTCCTAAGGAAACATTCTTCCTCATTGCCCAACTAAATCTGGTCCGGTTTTGCTCGCTACCTATGAATCAACATAAGGAAAAACATACGGGAATCAGACCACTAAACATCAACATTCATTGAAATCTTGCATGATGCAATGATTCTGTTTGATAAACGTGTGTTGTTTTAAGACATGAATTTTGGGTGAATATTGGAAAGTAGAATAAGGAATTACCTAGAAATCGATATGCAAGACTATTGTTTTCCATGTAATCTAATATCAAACATCGTTTGGCTCCTTCGACGCAACACCCATGAAGAGTAACGAGATTTCCGTGTTGTACATCAGATAATGCAGCGATTTCGGATATGAATTCACGCTCGCCTCTCATTGATTCGAGTTCAACGGAGAGCACTTTTATTGCGACGATAGTTCCGTCTCTGAGTCGACCCTATTAGTAATCAAAACATATTTCCAGTTAAAAGGCAACTGAAAGGAAACTTTCAATTTGGGGAAAAAGTTTTTCAAATTCACTGGAAAAAATGGAGAGATTATAATAATTTCCCTGAAACTTATAGAATCAAATAATTGGTTGGGAGGGAAATCACCTTGTAAACAGAGCCAAATCCTCCCTCCCCAACTTTGTTCTTGGAACTGAAACCATCACTAGCAACTTTCAGCTCAGGGTAAGAAAATAACCTAAAATTCTTAGCTCTTTCTTCACCTGTTTTTCACAAATTTGATTTCTTGATTCAATCATACATATCCATAAACATGTTCATAATCGATTTCTTGAAAAACACCCAATTCCATGAAACAATAACCCCCATGAGGTTACCTAAGTTTCTTAGCGCTTTCTGCTCCTTTTCAGAGTTTTCATCTCTTGATTCAATCATACATACCCAGAAACTTGATCAAGTTTATCAGATTCTTTTTTATTTGTCAAGAAACAATAACCCATGAAATAGAAAGCGAAAGAAAGCCAAGGCCAATGAAACCCATGAAATAGAAAAGGAAAGGTAAAAAGGAAACTTACGCTGACCTTTACCATTCTTATGGACCACTTTATCCTCTGAAGTTGAGCAGAAACATTCTGAACAGGGAAAATGAAACTTCATTCTTTTCTTATAAACCAAACCCTGTAATTTCAAATGTTAACGGGGGGGTTTTAGTACTTTTAAATTTACAGATTTTAGGAGATGGATCTTGATGGGAATTGGATCTGGCGATTTGGAAGAAATGCAAGAACATTCATGAGAATATATATATAGGAGTCAAGAGAAGGATGCTTGACCTCCGGAAGGACCTTGAACCATTTTTCTTTGAATCGGAACAGATTTGCTCACGCATCATACGACCAAGCAATGGATTAGGAGTTTAAGTGTGCTTTAATTACAACCTGATTTGGGTTTAGCAATTAATTAGCAACTCCCACGAAACAAGATCCTTTGACTTTTTTGTTTCTGCAATCCATTATCTAAATTGTTTTTATTTTTTATTTTTGGATATGATGCAAGAAAATGATTGGATGTTTATTTTAATCTTTAAAAATAAAAACCCATCAAATAATATTGGGATTTTAAGAGGGTTACATGGAAATTCAGTTATTATTATATCTCAATAATTGCAGATTGAGTGGTTGAAACCCACAATTTCTTGTTCCTTATATGAAAAGTTGATGTATATTTAATCTGAATATTTAAAGCATATAATTTCATAAATAAAATAATCATTTCACTTAGTTATCTGGATTTTAAGGTTTTTTTAAATATTTTTCTTCTGCTGTTTTATTTTGGAAAAAGATTAGAAAAATGTACCGGAGCAAAAAACTAAAGGTTAAAATATTTAAAAATGATTTAAAGAATCTATTGAATATACATTATCCTCCTAAACTGTTCCAACAAAAAGGAAGTTGGGTTTCCATAACAATCTCGTATACAAATCCAATACCACTCATCCTCCTATGCACATGGTGGTTTACCTCCTCTGGTAATGGCTGTGAGGCTGATATGAGAAAAGGTCGGGGATGTTTTGGAAGGTATCGCCAACTATTGCACTACCAACTTACTATTTAATTGAAAATTTGATCCAACGTTTCTAAAAACCCTCGACATCAAATCATTGTGGCCATGACATTGTTGTCCAACGTAATTTAAACTCAAACCAACTAATACCTTGTCGAAGTGAGACTAAATCGTGAAAATCACGACATAGGAAGTTGTGACGATGAGTGACCGAACCAAGAATGCCCTTTTGCATTGATACAACAACGTGGACAAAATAATATATACAGTACACGTTAGCTCATACAGTAAAAAAAGGTAATTTAGTGTCTCTTATTTTTGTTATTTCTTTCACAATTGCAAACTTAAGTTTACAAGTTTCCATCTCGTTAGTAAATAAAGATAAACAAAAATTCCAATTGCTTAACCATCTTTCTATATCTAGTCGACAATTTAAAGGTAAAATCAACACCTCATAGGATGCATCACCCGTTGCAGCCCCAAAGCAAAGCGATGCATAATTTGACAAGGGTTTCTTAGGCAACTCTGTTCATCTTCTTCATATTATTATAAAAAGCCACAAATGATAAACCATACCTATAACTCGAAATTAAGAGCTAAATTCAAAAAGAATGAAGACAAGAGATGTGACAACACCCACTTGCAAATCAAATTAAGAATATTCAAAACCTAATATATTTTGACTGTATAAAAATATGGATGACCGTTATACATCATGAGACTTGTTTGACAACGTCTATCACCATATGTAACATTTCAAAAACACCACTTTTGGATCCCTTGAGCAAGGATACGAGTTAATAGAAGGTGGGGTAAAGCCCTACATATTAGACGATCAAAGTTTATGTGGTGTTAGTTTAAAATTATAATTATTTAAGAAAAAAAAAGAGTTAATATGATATAAATTCAAAATTATAGTTTATATTTGATATGTTAATCTCAAAGTATGCAGATATATATTAATATGTTATTTCTTTACAAAAAGACCCGTTGTTATAATTATATAAAATAATAACAAAAAATATATATAATATTATGTCACTTATTTTTATGATGAATATTTGTCGAAACAACCATAGACTTGTTCAATTTCTCCATCCAATAAAATCCTGTTTCTTTGTTTATTATTATTATTATTATTAAGTTATAATTTAATATTATTATAATATAATGTTAGAAAATACGATCTTCATGTGTAAAATGGGTTTTAAAGTTCACATAGGGTTGATGTTATAAGCTTTGCTTGCTCTTTTGAGGTTGAAGTCCACGTTCCTATTCAACTTGTTTATTTTTAATCAAACACCTTGTTTCATACCCATAAAGTTTTATTGTTTGGTAATTAATTTATTCAAAAAAAAGGTAATTGTACATGCCAAAAGGCCTCATCTAGATTGCATATTTTTAACCAACATTTTGTTTTTATTTAAGAAAAAATTCAAATTCTCATCCATTCATTGTAGGGTGACGATATCTTTTGCATATTGTTACTCTGCCAATTTGCCTCTTGAGGTACATAAACAAGCAACAAGATTTTGTGTTTGATCTTGGATTTTGTCTGAAATCCAAATCATTGTTCTTTAATTATCCTAAATATGATTTCGTGGTACCCCAAGCTATAAGGTTGAAATTACAGATTTTGATAAATGTTTAATACACGATCCTTAGATTATCCAAGTATATTAATATTTTATTTCCAAAAATTCTAACAAGATGTTATATATAATAATTTCAATTATAAAAGTAATACTTTATTGTAACTATTAAACAAAATAAAGTAGAAATAATGTCTTAATCTTTGCTATATATTTATAATTATTAATTATATAAAAATAAAAAGGAAAGATAAAAAAGATTATCACTAAAATGTTCCCATTTATTTTATGTCAACAAATATCATTATATTAATAAACATTTATGTTAATTCGAAATCACAATTAGAGGTTGTTTCTTCATATATGAATAAAGTTGTATGTATTGAATAATCACTTTGCATAGATGAGGAAGGTTTTTGTGTAGAAAGGGTTTTTTGTAAATGGGATAAGCATACATAATTGAGAGCACCATTGAAAAATACATAATTTTCTACAGATAACTCTTTATAAAAGTTTACTGAATAGATCACTTTTTATATCATTAAATCACTAACAAACAGTCATATACAAGTGACCGAATAAGTTGTGATTTTCATAAATAAACAAAGTTTGATTTCAATACTTAATTTTAAAATTAAAAGATATATGGATTTTGATCACGAACAAATATGTCATCACGAAATCATTATTTATTTGGTCATGTATTATGTGGGGGAAATCCTACTCCAAAGCCAAATGGCATAGTCAAGCCCCTTTAGTTGAATCAAGTGTAAAAATCTCCCTTCAATTATTGTTTTATGTTTTTATAATACATGTATTGTTCTATGTTTCGATCCTATTTTCCCACTAATCTTTATAAGAAATTGGTCGCTAAAAACATGTTGACAGTTGACGGGATTTATTAAAAAAAAATGTAATACTTCTTAGTATGAATTATTTCAAAAATAAATTTTTTCTTGTAAATTTTCAATTTTGTTATAAAATAACTGAAAGAAAACAACAATAGAATAGTGAGAATAAAATATGTAAATCTCATTAATCATAAACTCTTTATGTATACATGAGTTACAAGTAGATAACTACGAGAGCTATCAGTTCTAATCTATCTCTAATATGTTAAACTCTATCTCTATCGTCATATCTTTTAGACAATGACGTATTTATCTTACAACAAATTTAGAATTATATACTATTTATTAGTAATAATGAGTGTGTGTTTAGAATCACAAACAATGGAATCAATTGTAAGGAAATGGACTTGGAGAAATGAAATTGATTCCAAAACCATAAATCATAAATATGAGGTAAATCTAAACTGAAATTTTACTAGGAAAAATGTATTTTCGAAACAATTCATAATAAGAGTAGGGTATCGGTTTGTTTGATTTTTGGGTAGAATGTGCAAAGTTATTTCATGTCTTTATTATTCATCTTTTTTTAGGATTTTTTTATCTGAGTAAAGTGAATCAAATTACAAAATCAGTTTTTCCTTCATTCATATAATCAAATTTCATAGCTTTAATTTTGGAAACAAAATTTCAAAACTTCTTATTTTGAAAAGCTTGACTTTCAAAATTTCATTTTCGGAAGCCAAAATAGAATAAATTTTGCTTTCTTTCCTTATTTTGAGAAATATGAATTTGAGCATACAGTCTGAAGATCGGTTCTTCAAAATTGAAGTTTTAAACGTTGCTTTCCTAATAATAATATAAGAACAAATTTAAAATCGGGGGCAATTTCGCATTATGTTTATATATCATTGTTTCTCACCACAATTTTACCTGAGAAATTGTTTGATATTCATCCTTCATATTATTTATCTCATCATGTCATGTCCAATATATCAAATGCAATATGAATGTGAACCGTTTTCGAAAATGACTCTCGCATTCATCAAGTAGCTTTGTAGTGGAAGCAAATATTAGAGGGACTGTTTTGTAGTTTGAATTTGTAGTATTTACTTTAAGAAGAGTGGGTAAAAGTCCAAGGGGCCAAATGTAAATATAAGGAGCAAGAGGCAGCCGCAGCCCAACTTCATTTTGTTTTTATTGAAACTAAAATGGAAAGTCAAATATTATTTTATTTTTTGCAGTTTCACATTAAATGTTCATTTAATACAAGCTTTTTGGGATGGTTATGTATTACAATATTAAATTAAATTATTTTTTGTTTTGTTTTACTTAGACTAAATTACAAATTTCATCTATGTAATTATATAAAAATTTAGATCGCAGCAGAAATGATAACAGGGGAAAGCGGGGAATAAAACCGAATTTGAGATAAAATAAAGGTGTTCTCGTTTAAACTTCTATATATATATATATATATATATATATATATAGGGTATATTTCTTTTACAACCTTGTGCATTTGTACAACCCTTGCAACCCAATTAATTGAGATATTTATAGAAATGATGGAAGTTCATTTATTATGATTTGAATATTTATGGAATATGAATAGAGTTCATTAATTATGATTAATACTTTATATTTGGAAATAATCAAAACTTCTATGAAATCACATATTCATCAAATGAAATGGACGGTTGAGATTGGGTTGTATAGGTTGCACAAATGTCAAGGGTTGTATAATAACCAACCTCTATATATATATATATATATATATATATATATATATATGATGTAGAATTTAACTAAAATGCTTAATAATGATTACATATTTATTCAGCAACGTAACATACAAAAACATGTGGACGACAATAAAACTTTTTAGTTTGAAAAAAAGTATGAATGAAAAATAAATAAGGTTTAAAGACTTATCTACAAAAATGTTACATTTTTCACCTTTAAAATGATGTAGAATGACATTTAAGTTAAGTAACATAAAATATCAAGTTAGAACGAAATAAATGAGTTGATATAAATTAATTATTACTAATGATTGTGTTGATTAAAATATAAATTATAAATAATATGATGATTATAATATAGTTTTTAGTATTTATTCACTTGTACAACTAAAAAAACACATAAAATTTTAGTTTTACAATAATATTGATGCTTATTTAATATAATAATTTTAAAAAAATAATTATCAAGAGATTTTGTTAAATAAATTTATATATAATGTGATGGATGCATAAAAATCTAACATATTTCAATAATTAAAATGCATACAAAGGATGCGATAATTTAAATAACATATATGTTAATGTGGTAGTATTATTTTTTGACCGTCACTAATCTTATAAAATAAGAGAGGTTGGTTCAAATCTGTAACAGGGATGGTTATTTGTCATATAAATTATTACCGCATGATGAAGGGTTTGATATATTAATGTGGTGGAAATGTAACGTTGCTAAGTTTCATATCATGCAGCGGATTGCGACGGATGCGTTGGTCATTCCTATTTCAACAATAGCTTCAAAATCGGCTTTTAGCATGAGTTTAAAGAAGGTAACGAAACAACGAAGTCGACTAAAATCGCAAACAATTGGAGCTTTGATGTGCAGCCAAAGTTGGTTAAGGAAATAAATTGAAGGTAGTAATTATATAAATTGTTTGTTATAATAATTATGTAAATTGGTATATACAAATTTTCTGACTTGCATTATGTTATTTCAGATAAAAAACACAGAAAACCAAAATGATTTGATCAAACAATTGCATACGATGAAGATGTTGATTGTTGAGAGACTAAATGACTAGAATTATGTGTTGCTTGGAAAAAACTTGTTTTGAATTTTACATCTCATTGGATTATTGTTAATTTTACAATATTATTATTTTTATTAGGGAAGACTAGATACAATGTAACGATGATGATGTTGCTTGGAAAAAACTTATTAATTTAAATTTTACCCGGTCTTGGTACGGGTCTGTTGACCGGGGGTTGACCGAAATTTGACCGGGGCCGAAAAGTTAATCCCCGTACCCGCCCGGCCTGGGGCATGTGGCTATAAACCGGGGTTGGGGCTTGGGATTGCAAACCTCGCCCCGTTGCGATGCTTAAATCTGTTAAATGCTATCAATATCAATCTTTTATTTCCATGTAGTTTGTCAACAAAATATTGTTTAAATGGCTACAATTCTTATACAGTTTCAAAGTTTGAACAAGTAATAGCATGTTGGAATTTTGGAAATCGGTCCAATGAAGGGTCCTAGCTCCCATCTTCTACTCGGATATATTGAGCTTGATTAAGTCGGTTTCTAAGTAAGAGTCTGCTTCATTCTTTTCGACCTAATGACAATGGATTTAAATCTATTATACTGTAAAAACATGCAACAAACGTTGAGAACCAAATGTTGTTTATCAGAAAGATATGTTTCACATGGGAAAAAAATGTCCATATGTTTCATATAATACTGCATTGAATCCTGACAAAAAATGAATTCACATAATGGATGTGATTGGTTTTCACGATTCTCAACATTTTTACGCATCTTATTTGTTTTCTTCCTATGAGATCGTGTATTAATAGTAACATGAGAACTTGGAGAACAACCAAAATAGTTTTATGTATAATATTGTTTGAAATATAAAAATACATAAACATCATGACCGGAAATTTTCCAACCTAAATCAATCGTATTTTTGCTCTGCGAAATTTCAATATCTATTACATTTCCTAACATATAATGTCAAGTGAGTGTTCTATAATGTAACCAAAGGGTATTTGGCCTAACGGTATATGAGTTCTTGGCCTTCTAGGAGGTCAAGGGTTCAAACCTCACCAAAGGTGAGGAGGGTGTGTGAGTTTATTTGTTCTATTTGCCGTATATAAATATTATATACTTCAAAAAAAAATGTAATGATAATACAAAACAAGTTATGGGTTTAATCCCACCCACCCCTAATTAACTTCAGTTGTTAAGTTAATAAAATGTAAAATAATTATATAAAATAATTGATGTATTTGTGAAAACTACAAAATTGCTACAGAAAAAGGATATTGAAGTTTTTAACTTTTATAAATAAGTTTTTTATTATTTGTAATTAAAAATATATAAAAATAAAATTATATAACACGTTTATTTTTCTAATACTATGATAAGCTTCTTCTATGTTCTTAATGTTTTGCTGACCCAACTAAAATGAGTCAAACCCTTGACCATTTCATTTTTGTTTGAAATTCCTGAATCATTGACCACGACGTTTATCTTTGAATCATTCCATTCCAATCCATGCAATATATTATAAAATATGTAAAAAAAAATCTGTAAAAAAAATCTTAAAAATTATTTTTTATGTATAAAATATTGTTCATTGATGCATTATTACTTAAAATTTAATATCATAGGTAAATTGTGTATAATTACAACTTATTAATGCTTCATTTTTTAATTTATGTAACTAACTCTAAATAAACATAATTAAATACGTGATAGACATCTCATTTTATATATATATATATAATATAAAATATAATTAAAATAATCATTAGTTATAACAAAATACATAATTATTATATATACTACCTTATAAATCAGATTTATCAAAAGTCTTAAAAACAAATTTTAATGCACAAAGTTTTAAAAGTTTTCAAAACAACTCATAATGCATTAAGTACTACTACTTTATGCATTCAGTCTTAAAATCTTTTAATCTATAATTATAATAATATATAGTACAACTACAAATTACCAATGTACATTATTATCTTTTATTTTCATGTCCCCAAGATACTTTTGACACTTTTCACTCATGTCTCACTCTCTCATATTTCTATGTCTTCTCCTCATCCCCCAAGATGAGATTCAAATTGATATTCACCATGAGTTATTAAAAGTTCTTTTATTCAATTGCTCTAGAACTCTCGGTCTCGGTCTCTTGATTATTTGCCTTTGGTGTAAATCGAATACATTTGTGGAGTCGTTTAAATATGTTAGATTTTAACCTGTCATACAATTTTTTTCATCGATAGACTGTAATTGGAACCATAACTCTTATTTATTCAAATTGTAAACCAAGTGTAACTTATATCATCGTTAAACCTTCTCTAATAAAACCAGTGAAACTTCAAAATCGTTAAAATTCACGGATCCCGTCGCATTGCGCAGGTACACAACTAGTCTTTATAAATTTTATATTATTAAATAATAAATAAATTACTTCGTTATCAAATCTAAATTAAATTATAAAAAAATCAGAATTTTAAATAGTAAATTTGATATTAATATCGATACATATTTTTTCCAAATTTTTATGAAATATTTAAATTTTATTTAAAAAAAAATACATTATCGCTTTCTCAAACCCACTAAAAGTCATATTATATCGACATAGATAAAAAAACAAAATGAAACATTAGAATTGAGATATATCTCACTACATTATACGAACACCCTTCTAGTTATTCTAGATGCTTATATACACATATAGTTTATATTTAAATTTATATGTCTATTTATTCATACACTTATTTTAAGTGGGAAGGCTTTTTATGTTTTGTTTATCATTGTTAAAAGTCGTTTTACTCTTATTAAACTACATATCATATAAAAACGTAGGTTAGGTAGAAAAGGCAAAGAGTTAACCCAAAACTCACTTCATTTAATTTTTTTAATGAAAAACACGTATTAAACATTATATTGGCGTTTTAGGTCAAAAAAGTAAAAAGTTAACCCACAACTCATTTCATCAACCAAATGTTTCTCACCAAAAATTTAATTCACGTTCTTGGAATTGTACTAAAGCAACAGGTAATTTTGAACCAAAAAAGAGGCCAATGGTTCGTATTAACAATTCCATCGGAAGCATAAATTAAATTAAAATTATATTTTTTGCTAAAACTATTGGTATCGGAAATAAATCTCAACAACAACATTGTACATAAAAGAGATGTTTTACCGAGAATGATGATAATTCATAAAATTGAATTCAAGTTATTTCTGTCGTTTCCGGTCATCGTCCTCCTCATCAGAGTCACCATGCTCACGAAAACGTGGATTTTTCTCCTGTTCGAGTTAAGCCATGATATCATTGGGAAATCACAAAAATATTGTATTTTCACAACGACAGAAAGATACATCAACGAGGAAAATTGAACCAAGAGTAGCTTGTAAAAAGAAAGATTGCCCAAAAACAAGATACTACAGCAACTGTTGTAAGAAGCGGAAATCATTACCTGTCTCGAATCATTATCAGGGTTTCTTCGAGATTCATGTTCAGAATTCCTCTTTGAGACATCTGGGCCACGCCGGTCATCATCGCGGTATCTCTTCCGATAATCTATTGTCATATAGATACTCGATTTAAATGGTATATGGTCTCACAAAAATATATGAAACTGCGTAAAAGAAGGTAATGGGGGGGGAAAAGAATGTGTACCTCCTCTGCCATGTCGTTGGGAGCCCCCGTAACCATGACCACCTCCTCCATGTCTTCCATCTGCAACACTTGAAAGTCAGCAAGAGCAGAAACAGATATTTTCACAAAGCAGCTAAATTCACATTAAGCCTCCATCACATTCATGTGAACTGCTCATTGTTTCAACATCTTTACAGATCATACACAATTTAAAAACAAGTATGATACAGTCAAGCCTATTTATTGTAGAGGAATAAGCTTCAGGGGACAGGCTTCCTGTTATTAAAAGGGATGTTGGCCAATTACTACTATCAAGTAGAAGAATTTATGGTTGGCTTAGGGGCCGTTTACTAAACGCCTACCCGCTAACTGCTTACCAGGTAACTTCCTTACCGAATGAACATGTAAGGACCACTAATCATACCCGGTAAGTACTTACCAGGTAATTTTCCTTACTGGATGAACTTGTAAGGGCTGATAATCATACCCGGTAAGTACTTACAAGGTAATTTTCCTTACCAGATGAACTTGTAAGGGCCGATAATCATGCCCGGTAAGAGCAACGATAAGGATGGAGGGTCTAGCCCGGTAAGTGAGGGTGTAGACTCTTACCCGAGTAAACGCTTACCGGGTAAATTGTTGCATACGATACCGTTTTGATGTACTACAATCTTACCCGGTAAATAAATTAAAATGTTGACTCCCACAGGTAAGCATTTGACTATATGGCCCCTTAGTTGGACTACTCATTGAACTTAAGGCTTCATGTAAAAAGAAATCAAGTAGTAATATATTGATTTTATATCATAATAGGATTCCTACTCCTATACAAATGCCTTTTGCAGTTATTTCAAACTGTTAACATCAATAATATGCCTGAAAACTGAAGCCATCAACTATTTTACGAAATGCAAATTGAAAAGAAAAAAAGTGGAAAGGGGAGCATTTGTACTATATGAGCAAATCAAGATTATGGGCAGATCTTTACCCAGAGTAGAGCATAAACCTTGAAAAATTAAAGAAACCCATTTACAAACATGATAATGACATCATCATTTGGATTCAATCTTGATGAAACAATCCATCAGTGAGAAGTTAATTGGATAAGTTAAATCATTTTCTTAATATTATACGTTATAAGAAAGAAAGACAAACTCGTGGTTGGTGAAAAATTGAAGAAAATCCTTTGATTGCAAGTTGGAAGGAACTTGCTGTGAAAAGAAGTACTGGAATCTACATTGGTTCTTTTTTCTTAACCGAATGTGTCTTGCTTAGACTGAGAAGGCTAGAAATCTTGTCTGTGTGTCATTGTGTGCTGCTTTCGCAAGTTGATCTAGATGGTCCAAATTGCTTACCACAGTGTATATGCGCAAAGCACATATACCAACATAGCTCTCCTAGTTCGAAGTGAGGGATTCTTAGACATCTCGATAATTTAAGATCCCACTAAAATCCATTCAGAGGGAATTGCAACACTTTCTATCCTTCCCACAGGAACTGCAACAGTTCTCCTATGTTGATGTTTAAATGGCTTTTCCTATTCATAACTTTTTGAACTTGGATTGTATACTTAATCTTGTCTCTCTCTTTGTTGTAATACCTTGAATGGGATCTGTATTCATCATTGTACAGATTCTTAATCTTCTTCATTTGATCCACAATCCATTGACATAAGATCTGCACTGTATGAATTCTTGTCATATACTGTCAAATTGGGGTTTGTATATGTATGGACAAGTTTCCTATTGTTCTTCTGATTCATAAAGATCCAACCAGGTTCTGTAATCATAAGATAGTTCTTGTCCTCTATGATTCATTATCCACCAAACTAGAGTGTAGATTTATATGGATTTTTTGCTTCTATCACATGTTATATCCATTAGGTTTCTTGTGAAATGAGTCCTCTTACTCAGATGTGAATATAATATGCCTTTACAAAATCCTTGTGGTGTCTGCCATGAATCTGTTCAGGATATCTTACAAAAGGCAGAGGTTTTAGGGAACTTCAACCTGACCAAATCTGTATGAGAAGAATTCATCCCAATGCCTGCTGTTATTAGACTAAAAATGACATTGCTCAAACTGTTCTGTTCTTTTTTTTGTCGAAAACCAATTCTATTTTTCAAAAGTCAATACTGATTGACCTTATATCAATTGTCAAAATTTGTTAAAAGTTAATAATCTATAAAGTCACACATAGCTGGAAAATGGAGTTAGCAAAAATTTACTGTTTTAGTAAAGTTTCTCTCTCCATATAAGAATTTTAAACCACCCATGAGGGTAGCACAAGCATGTTATGGTGACACCAATGACATGACACGCATTGTTGGGTAGATCAACCAACAGTGTCCCCACTTTGTTTTGGGCCAATGATGAACTGGCCATCTTATTATTTATTAAACTATGTTCTGCAGTTCAGCATTGTATATTTGGTGTACACCCTCCAATTTATGTGTTTACCTAGAGTCATCCTCCGGTTATGATTTTTATGATATCGTATTTGTTTTTCTCCATGTGTATTGTGTGATATAATTGTTTCCAATGACAATTTGATAAGAAAGTACATCTTACCTTGTAGAGTCAACATTATTTGTGTACTTTGGTGTTGGTAGATAACTAAGAGGAACATTTGTTTTATCACATTTGTTGTTCTGCTTTTTGGTTATTTTGTTAGTCTTCTATTCTTCTGATTTTCTATATTTGGAATATGTAATCTTACGTCATGTTTTTCACTTAGGCCAGTAAAGAGAGCTCAGCAAAGCGATTAGTGTGGTTAGAGTTGTCGTGATCCAGAAAAGGAGAACGTAGTGGTTGGTACTTCATACTCCATACTCCTCATTTCCACGATTTTTCACTGATTCCTACTTTTATGTCCATGCTGCATACAGTCCACTTGGCATGCAAAGTTTCAGGCTACAAGTCACGCACCCATGCACCAGCTGGTTTTATCACCAACTGCAACTAAAGGATTCCATTCATGCCTTGTTCAACAAGTATCAAATGTTCATGTTACATAGCCTAGTTGCAAAATCAACGCACTGTATAAAACTTTTCCAAAAGGCCAGACTGCACTTATGTATATCAAAGGTTACAAGTCACTCGTGAGCAACTCTACATGCTACATTATGACTTCTATTTCAATTGTTACTTTTAGAGTTGTTGCATGATGTAAGATCTCGTCAGGCAGTATGAAAGAAAAGCCATTATAATGTCAGCATCTAAACAAAATAAAGGGTACGAAGTGAGTTGTAAACTTACAGTTGGGAGCCATAGGAGGTGGCTGGAAAGATCCCAATGACCCAACCCCATAATCTACTACCTGCCTTTGTTCTTCTAACTCTTTCTGCACTAATTTTCCGTAACCACCTCTATGTATGACCAGTCAAAGAAAGCTGAAGCAAATGATCTAAGTTTTCAAGTTCAAGTGAAATAACTCATATCAAAAGAGGTATCAAACTAACTCATGAAGTTGGCATGCTATTTGTTACCAGTGAAGAGAAACAGAAATAGAAAAGAAATCACAACCAAAACAAAGTCAGGGTAGGCATAGTACAACATCCTTGTAGAAAAACCAGTCTACAGCTTAATGTAGCGTGCTCTAAAAATTAAAACTTTTTAAGAAAAAGAAAGAGATTAAGGACAACTTATATTGATTTGTCAAGACATAGAGGATGACGGTGTGCTTTGCAGGAAGCTAGTGAGACTTGGAAAAGGTATAGATTGGTCAATAAGATGGCGTCCAATGCAATTACAGTTCAATACAATATAACAGTGTGATTCAAAATAATCAGATTCCCTTCAACTGTTGGACAAGTTGCATTTGTAACTAAAACAAGCAGCGACATTATGATAACAACACCAGTGACCGACACTTTCAGATTGCAGATATTACTTCATTTCCTGAAATTGCTGATGGTTAGACTACCCTAACAAGATTGAGATTTGGAATTTTTGTTGATGTTGTTTGGGTTGTTGCATTTCATTCAGCGTGCTTGGTTAAATGCATGGTGTGGCTTATAGAGGAAACTTGGTTATCTGGTCATTAAGTAATAACAATTAATCTTATGTCATCCTATATCTAGAACAGATAGCAACTCATTTCATGAATGATGAAACGGTTCACAGACGATTTCATTGGTTAAAAGCACACAAAAGCACTTGCAAGCTAAGAACTATATCTCAGAGAAAGCTTATGTAGTTAGTAAGACTAAGATAGATAGTTTAAATACTCTAGCTTATCAAAGGATATCAGGATCATAATCCGTGCGATATTCATCCCTCACCTGGACAAGAAAACAGAAGTCATACACAGTATGAATAGAGTAAACATAAAGACTAGATTAATAAATGGTAGAAGGTCACCTGCCCACCACTTCGACCACGACCCCATTGCCTTCCATCCTGGAATCCCCAATCAAAATCTACACGAATAGGACGATCATCAAGAATAGTCCCGCTTATGTATTTCACTGAATCCTCAGTATCTTCTCTAGAGTAGTACCTGAAAAGGGTAAACTTTAAAGCTAACTTCTTTTGATAAGAAGTTGGAATAGGAACTGGGTTAAATTTATTATAATATCCTTTATTTTGCCAAAACTCTCAAGTATCGTTGGTTAATAACATATCAAGGTTCAGAGCATGAAACACCCTGGAATAGATGAGATGCTTTTAATTTAATAGATGGAAAAATGTCACCATTCTCCTCTACCATGCTACTACAAATAGTAACAAAGGCCAAAAAATTGTATTATATATCTCAAATACAATATAACAATAATGTCAACATGGAATTCAATCTGATCCGTGATTGATATATCTTAGGCAACTTGGTGGAAGCTTTTGACTAAATACATCGAGTTTTTTTACTTACATGATAAAGCAGAAGCCACAAGGCGTTTTTGTGTTCTTATCCAAACCCATAACAATCTTTTTTATCTCTCCTGCTCGTGAAAACAGCTCATAAAGTTGCTCTTCGGTGGTATAGAAAGACATGTTGCCAATATAGACAGTTGTTGAGGTTTGGAGCGCATGCTCATATTCTTCTTGTGTTCCTGGAAACCTTCGATCACGATATGCTGAAATCTTGTTTGGATCCTGACATGAAAAATACATACAGCATGTTGCAAGCAAGACCATAAAACTATAGACTAAACAAAATCCCAGAAGCTGGTGCATTCAGTTTACTAGCTTGATGTCAAATTCTTAAAACACTATATAAACCAATCTCATCACATTCTATAAGCTGCTTTGTGACAGTAAATTGAACGTTTACTGATGCTGAATGTCATATGAACCCCAAATATAATTCAATCTCGAAATTTCTGATACTACATTATACTACTAATCTACTATGGGTAGAAGTGCAAATTAGTCGACTTATCTTTTTAGAGAAAAGTTCAAGAGAGAGTGTTTGGTTCTGATAGTATGATGATATATATGAAACCGGAAGTGAAAAATGGACTGCATATTATAGGAGTGGAGAATCCAGTATTGAGTAACCATACGCTGATAAATATATTTATTTCCATGAGCTGTATATGCATATGACCAAGACAAACAGATAAAAATCATACTGGTTTCATTCTATGTTGCTACAATTACAGAAAATTGACTTTGAATGAGATCAAGTTTTGTCCTCCCAAAAAAATGAGTTACACGAAGAAACAAGCTTCTAAAAAAGGTGTGTTCCTTTTGAGTAGGCACTTACTGAAAAAATCTAGAATTTGAACATCAAGAACAAATCCGTTAAGTCATACGAGCAATGCCATTTTAACATAAAAAAGAAGACACTACCATACCTTAAACAGCAAGGCCATCACACTTTATCTGAAAATGAGAGGTGGATTGTGTTAGTTTCGAGGTGATAGACATATTCACGAAAACAATTGATAACTTAGTTGGATACACACATATATTATATACATAATATAATACATATTTAGCTACCATATCTCCTTTGATAGGGTTTTGTTTAGTTTCAATTTCAATCGCAGGCAACAGTGCTTGAGCCACAACAAATATCATCAATTCACCTTAAATACTTTAACACGTTGACCTATAATAATTACGTACTCGAGAAGACATCATGAAACAGGGATACATCATTCTACCCTTCCATAAAAAAATGTAAACCCAAAATTCTCGTAGCAAGCTGTTCTCTAACTTCAATTAGCAGATTCAAGGGTTTTTTGGGGGGTGGGGGTGGGGGTGGGGCTGAGTGAGGAATTATTGAAACAATAGCATTCAAATTTAATTACTAAAGCTTCTTTGCAGTATAGTTAAAACAATTTAAGAGAGATCTGGACCTTTCTTGAAAGCTTAATGGGCCAATAGATTTTGTGGTTAGCAAAGATCAATTGAACTAGAAAGTCAACTTTCTAGTTTGAATCATGAAAAAATATGATTTTTCATGTATTATTTTCCTTTCTACCTACTAGACTCTTAGATGTTTAGCTCCCATTTGAACAAATAAATGTGAAATGACAGGCAAACTCACCCTACCGTCTAGAATTGGAAGCTTCCCTCTCAACTAGAATTCTTCTCCAGCAACTTAACGAGGACCAATCCAAGAGTTTTCCTGACCAGGCAAGTTTGTGCCAAATAATTTTCAGACCAACACAATCTGAACTCAACAGCTTATGAATATGGCATACGAAAATAAGACAAGCTCCGGATAAAAAAGATAATGGTTCAAGATAAATTAACCCACTTTAAAGATTAAACGGACTTCAATTAGTCAAACATATCAATAAACTCATTCAAACAAACCCCCAAATTAAATTAATCCAAATAAACTTCGATTAACCCAGGTGTCAGAATACCTTCGAAATGAGAAAATCTCACCAAGACCTTAAAGAAATGTGCTCAAACACGTGCTCAAGAACCATACCATCTGATTTCTAAAGATTAACAGGAGAAAAGAACTGAACAACTAGCATGTTCCAATATCTTTTCTGTGTTTCGTAGAAAATACACATGATATCTATACTACCTTATAAACCAGATTTATCAAAAGTCTTAAAAACAATTTTTAATGCACAAAGTACTATACATTTATGCACAAAGTCTTAAAAACAACTCAAAATGCATTAAGTACTACTACTTTATGCATTCAGTCTTAAAGTCTCTTAATCTACAATTAAAATAACATATATTACAAGTTACCAATGCACATTATTACCTTTTCTTTCCATGTTCCCAAGATACTTTTGACACCTTTCACTCATGTTTTCACCCTCTCATACCTCTATGTCTTCTCCCCATCCCCCAAGGTGAAATTCAAATTGATATTCACCATGAGTTATTAAAAGTTCTCCATTCAATTGCTCTAGAACTCTCGGTCTCGCTCTCGATCTCTTGATTCTTTGCTTTTGGTGTAAATCGAACACATTTGTGGAATCGTTTAAATATGTTGGATTTTAAATATATTGGATTTTAAACTGTCATACAATTTTTCTCATCGATAGACTGTAATTGGAACCATAACTCTTAATATTCAAATTGTATTAATATGTAAAGACCAAGTGTAACTTATATCATCGTTAAATCTTCTCTAATAAAACCAGTGAAACTTCAAAATCGTTAAAATTCACAGCTCCCGCCGCATTGCGCGGGTACACAACTAGTAGGATAATTAAATATGGAGCATTGCACAATGCACAGGCAATATGACAAAAAATAGAGCAAATTGCTTAATATACTTGCTTTTGAAACCCATATTCTTAATGTGACTCGCCCGCTACCTTATATCCCAAAAGAGCAATTTATGAGTTGCTCAAAGCCGTGTCCCAACCATCGTACAACTAAGAAGCCTTGATGTATGGTACACCAAAATTGTCTTTCCTTTTAAAGTTCAGCATGCATCAAAATGCAACTTGACAGTAACAACCACAAGAAACAAAAAATGGATACACTTCATCTTTCAAAAACCTTTGAAAGACTGAACATCCATAGGAAAAGCACTGATTCTATTAGCTGAAGGGAGGACTAAAAGATGATTCAAACTTATGTAACCTTACACATATAAGAGAGAACCATTTTTACAATAGGTTATCCCCATGGTCTCTCTATTGAGACCAAGTGAGTAACGACATCCCTCACCATGAGAGTAAGACTCATGAACATAAATAGGTTAAAGAAGAGAGACAAAAGCTTATTGTTCCTCATACATCAAAGGATGGCCTCGATACAGTGGCAATTCCATTGCTAACACCTGAGCACATGTTGAAGGTATGCTAAAACAGCTTCTAGATTTTCTCCGAACTTTTATTATTGGTGGAACAACTCTTTTGAGATGTTCTGTTCAAACAAAGTATTCAAATTGCTAAGCAGAAATCAAGAGAACTGTTTTGTGATCATGTAAAGCTAGTACAGTAATCGTATGGAACCTAAACATTTAGTATCCTTCAAGCTTCGAAGGAGATATAAGTCACAATTAATTGCTGAAATTACCAATCTGAATATCTAAAAAAACCTGACTATATTCTTCTATCATGAATATAGCGTGAATCATCATCAAATAAGATAGAACATCCACTACTTACTAGTTTCTAGTTACCGTTCCAAAGTAACCAACATGTGAGAGAGAAAGTTTCACCCAATTTCAAAGTTCAAACAAATGAACAATTACCCAATATGAAACTTAACGAATCTTGAAACCCTAATTTCTAAGTATTTAACCTGAGTGAGCAGGAAAGTGGTGCTATTGGATTTGGGGCTACTGGGTGGTGGTCCCGCTTATGGGGTCTAGTCAATAAGCTCTAAGAAGAAATATTTGAATATCAATCTCATTGATATGATCGATGAACAATTACCCAATATGAAACTTCACGAATCTTGAAACCCTAATTTCTAAGTATCTAACCTGAGTGAGCAGGAAAGTGGGGTAACCAGGAGGACTTTGAGGCGGGGACAACAAACAGTGAAGCAGGACGCTTGACAGCATCAAGAGGGGATGAGAGGGAGCCAAGGTACGAACCAAATGAGCAATGGATACTGGGCCTATATAGAGAGAAACTTAAAATTTCAGGGGAGCCCATGCTCCGCCCCATACCCTAACGAAGACCTAGATATGCCGATTCCATATCCACTAAATATTGGAACGGTGTTTACAACAGATAAATGTGGTTCTTTATTGCATTTTAGAAACAGATAACGATCGGTCATATTAACAGAATGCAATCATCCACGCGACTTTGCATTTGAGCACATCCATTTTTTTTTACAAATGCAATCATCCGCACGTCATTGCACTTTAGCTCAACAAAATTAAGATATCAATTTCATCAAGCATTCACTTTCAGTACAAAAGGGCAACGAGAAACCTAAAAGTTCTACAATTTCAAGGATGTCATGTAAGAGTATGACCTAAATATTTGAAGTAATAAACGGAATCAGTTTAGGGGGAAAAAAAAGGGACGTACAGTCGATTAATAACACAATACATACAATTTTTGAAAGTTACCTTGTGGTTTTGAGGAGGAGTGGTTAGCGAAGACGGCGGAGCAGAGAGGAGCGCCGCTGTTGCGATCGGAGAATGTAAAAACAAACGGGCAAGTGGTTCGACAGTCTAATATTTTTCTTGCGTTTTTATTTATGGGTAATTATGGTTACCCAGCCCAACCGCTAAAGCCCAATCCAACCGAATTTACCAAGTTTGACCAATTTATTACCCCTTTGGCCCTTAACCTTTCGTATTTTCTACACCTTTAGTCCTTTAGGTTTACAGACTACAAATAGCCTCCAAATGGGGTGTTCGAACGTCTCTAACAATTTTGTTAAAAAAAATAACTTAGGGGTTGTTTACCAAATTTTTTATTAAACTTGTCTGTCTACATAAATTTATGTTGTTGTTTATTTTTCTATCTGAATCAATAATCTGAATAACATAAATGACCAATTTACCCTTGAGAATGAACTACGCGTTGTTTAATAAATTGTTGTTCATTTTTTAAGCCAAATGATATTTATGAAAAATAAAATATTTAAATATCAAAACATAAACTCATAAATTCATTGATATCATCTAAAGATCAAGACATAAATTCATTGATGACATTCTAATACGAACAACTAAACCAACCAAAAACTAGTAATCTAGTAACAAGTAATCATGAAATTGAACATATTTTAAATTTAAAAAGTAATATTTAAATTAGGCTACCATTTGATCCTTATAAACGAGATAGGGGAATTATATAGACTATTAGAAACTATAATGATGCTCGTATGTTAGCAAAGGCAAGTTCTGGGTTACATTGGAGAAGCAAAACAGATACAGAACTAGTAAATCATAGTGGTGAAGCAAAACAAGTAATGTTTTATGTGTTTGAACTTCAAATCAGTAAATCACTCTTTTCTACATATGGGTTCGAACTTTTAAACATCTGTAGGGAAATTATTTAATGAAATTACATACCCATATATAAAAGTAGGGTATTCTTGTATTGAATGTTGATAAATGCAATCCATTGCAGATAAATTAGGCTAAACGAATAGCTAAAAACATGCTTGCTAGGGACCAAACAAAAGGAAAAATTCATTACATCTTAATACCATGGCCTGCAAGACTACTACTTGAGCTGATAAAGCAGAAGACAGATTTCATTACATGTTATACAATCAATTGCTACAGTGGAGAAGCAAAATCGATATATACAATCGATTGCAACAGTAGAGAAGCAAAACAGATATAGTGGAGAAGCAATCGATATATACAATCGACTGCTACAGTGGAGAAGCAAAACCAAAAGCAAACAAAAAAATCATACAATCGATAGATACAGTGGAGATATCGGCTATGGTTCTTTTCTCAAAAGTAAACAATCGATGGATATAGTGGATAAGTAGTTACCGTTGGAGAAGAAAGCAATTGCTTTGAAGAGAGCAACCGATTTGAAGAAGAAATCGATCGATGAAGGAGATATCGCTAGGGTTCTTATGTCAAATGAAGAAGAGATCGGCTAGGTGTTGTTGCTTTGAGGGAGGCGTGTTTTAAGGGTAGAATTGTCTTCTTCTTTTTTGGTTGAATATGAACAAGAGGTGTTTTTGTTATGTGCGAATAAACCTCAAGTAGACACACGCGAATAAGCCCACTTACTAAGTAAACTCATTAAGCCTCAAGTAAGCACACCCTTGGAGTATTAAAAGTTAAAGTTTTTGGAAAAATTACATCTCACTCCAACAGCTACTCTATTTTAAGAATTTTATCATAGTCTATATTATTAAAATATTTAATACATTTGATAAAATATTATTTATTTCTTTTAAACACTTGATTTCAGTGTCTCCTATTAGTAAGAAAAGAATTAAATATTACAATTGAATATTAGAGTTTTAGAGATTTATCTAAATTTTAATATTTGTAGCTTTTTACTCTCTCTCTCTCTCTCTCTCTTCTTTGTTTAGCATATGTTGTAATATAATGTTGGGTAAAAAATATACCCAATACATTATTTGGTAAAAATATGTTAGATTATTTTCTGGATACACGTTTGGATATATATAAGCTAACTTATTGAAACATTACTTGAAGTAACATTTTGACAGCTTATTATAATTTTTTACAATTATAACATTTATTAGTTTAATTATTATTTATTACTATTAATTATAAAAAAAATATTAATAAAATGTAAATATCACTAGTATTAGTAAATATTAATNCGTCACAGAAATCGAGATGAACCAGTTGCTCTTGAAATCGAGATGGATACCTAATCGAGAGATCGAGATGGATAGAACTAATCGAGAGATCGAGAAGAAGACGGTAGGCGACGCAAGGCGATTTCAAGAGAGATCGATTGAGAGAGATGTCTGGTAGGCGACGGTAAGAGGGTTTCAGACTCTGGTAGGCGACGAGAGGATTTCAGACTCTGGTAGGCGACGCAATGAATAAGAGGTTTTCAGACTTTAGGATCCCTCTAAATAATTCAGACCTTTTGAGAGTTTTTAAGCACTTAATTTTTAAAAAAAACAAACGCACTTAATGCCTCAACGTCTGACCGATTCAGACGTAAGAGGCAATTAAGTGGTTTTTTTAGAAAAACAAACAGGCCCTCACCCTCTCACAACCTATTTTTTTAAAATTATAATTTTAAATTTACATTTTATACCCCTATAATTAATTAATTAATTTACTTTACGTTCTTTACTTTTAAATGTTTCATTTTAAACATTTATCAAATTAACATACATAATC